GGGAAATCCCTAGTCCCCTCCACTTAATAAAAGCCCTGTGCTTGTTTAGGAAGTTCACAAGGCTGTGCTTTAAGAATAATAATAAATTGTAGTGGGTCCACTACTCTGAACCTGTGAAATCTTGGGTACCCAGTATATGGACTTGCAAAAGCTAAGATCTCCTGGTCACACAAGAGCAAAAATAGAGTTATTGGCAGCATACAAAGAAAGTTGTGTCTGATAGCCTGGGGCTAGTGGATTTTGCTATTGGGCTAGTGATTTTTGTTCTTAACTTGCCCCACAGGCAAGTGCTGTTTTTTGGGGAAATTCAAATTACAGATGGATTGTAATCAATCGTGCTAATCAAAAAGGATTTCAGGGCTAATTGAAATGACTTGTGGGCTAGTACATGATAGCTACAGCTTATGCCCAAATGGCAGGCTGTAAAAACTGACTTTCTTTGCACCCTGTATTGGGGGCCACTGGGTACTGCTAGAGCCCCATTCACCACAGAGTGGACCAACTACAGTACACTGTTATAAAGTTCGTATTGTCTGGCTTTATAGCATAATGGTTTTTGCCCCATGTAAAGCAATCCAAGACAGATTCCAGATTCCCGTACTGGATTCCGGCTTCTTTGTCAGTGGAACTTAGATTCCAGATTCCAATCGTTAGTGGGAGCCCTGTTCCTTGAGTTGTATTCTGGATTCCAGAACCCAGGATTATGGATTCTGTAAGCAAAAATGTTATGGATTCCACAATCCACAAGCAAGAATTTCCTGAGATCCAGATTTCCTAACTCTCTAATGGTACAGGCAATCTGGTTCATTTGGTAGGTTGTTAAGTGTACAACTGTACAACATGTAGACCTGAATTAGGCTACTGCCAGAGGACATGATAAATTTATTATTGATTAATATTTAATTATTTCCCTAAAAGTGATGTCCAGTTGTACTATTAACAACCAGAATATAAAAAGCTCACAGACTGACTTTGCACATCATTATAAACTGTGGTACAGTTTATGAAGTCAAAGCACTGCACAAAGTTAACAAAGCTACAAAGAGGATCTTAGCTAATCTTGTACCTAAGTTTATGCTCTAGCGACTTACTTCATAAGCTTGTAGTTAACAGAGATCGTTAGCTATGTTACGTTTCACTTTACCTCCACCCATTGAGAACGTTTAAAAAAGATAAAATTAACAAACTACCAAGGAATGATACTCTGTATGAATCATTGACTGTCTTTCAATACGGTAGTTGAGCACATTTTCACACTCACCGGAGCAACTTGGTCTTCGCGTAACGTTATAGGTCCTGCCCAGTTTATGTCATACTGACCTTCGTCAAAAGGATTAAAACATCTAGCGCATATGAATAAAGAAAGCAGAGGAAATATTTTGGAGTCGACACGATACAACATTTTCGTGCCGCAACACAAAGTCTCTGTTTTGAATGCAGACGTGTCGAGCGAACGAGGCTCTAGTTCCCAGGCCCCAATGCCTAAAAAATACAGTTTCTTCACAGGTCACCCAAGGTTATGAACGTACTCAAAACAGCACCGCAGCTCCGTATTTAGGTTTTATTAGGAAAAAAACTTTTTCAGGGGCTAAAAGATGAATAGACTGAAAGATCGATACAAATAAAACTTCAAAATTTACAACTACTGGTGGTTGATGTAGATGACTACGTTATATCATATATCAACGAGCTTCTTTCCTTCAGGGAAACAATGTTTTCCCCTTCTGATTCTCTCGTTTATCAAGTGAGTCTCCCGAGTCTTTATTTTATTGACCGATTCAGGTGTAAAACTGAGATATCGGTCACCACTGAGCTGTTGGTCGCTGTGCTCTTGCTGCTATTTTAAAATATGTTTAACAGAAACACCTTTGACTACTGAGGCTTTCAATATACTGAAAAACAACACGAAAGATGCCGAATACATGCTGTTTTTCCCGGGGGGAACTCACATATAAAAGTGACGGGGATGCTCGTCGGAAAAGAGACCGATGTGGGTGTCACTCAAGCTTAAACTAAGGGATATTTGTGTGTGGTTAGCCCGGGGAGGGGTACTCCCTTATATTTGCCTCATAGGCATGTGTCGCCCCAAATGGTTTTGGCTCCATTTTGGTTATGTTTGGGTCAGGATTTGGACAACCGAGCGGCACACCCCCAGTGTCAGAGCATTTTTTTTGGAAATTTCTTTATGCGCAGTACTAAGCGATACCTGAAATACCTGGGCAAATGTAGTATTCCATCCCAAACACCCTAAGTGAGACCAAAATCTGCAATTTACACCCCAAAGGGAGACGACGAGCATCACCGTCACTTTGACGTGAGTCCTTCCCGGTTCTTTTTTTCCGGTTTGCTGACAGGAAAAAACATCTCAAGTTGCTGCAGCTTGTTCCGACTTAGAATACAGGAATACAGAAACTCGCCAGTAACAATTTCCCTCCAGGACCAAGTATATTCAAATCGGACAACATATTAAACTTTATACAACTTCAACATTAAATTCAATCATCACTGAATTCAACATTCAACCGTTTTAAGATGTCTGAATGCACATGCCTTCCCGGTAGCCTGCGTGGCAGGCGTTTAAAAGGGAAGGGAAAGGGAGTCTTAAGCGCGAGAGAAACGTGTTCTCGCGCCCTATTTCCCCTCCCCTTCCCTTTCGAACGCCTGCCACGCAGGCTACCTTCCCGGTTAAGACCTGTATATAGTTCCCAACACGACAATGAGACCTTCTCCTTTTGCTAGTTTTGCTTTCAAAGGATAACGCAATTAGTGAATTACAGAAAGTCTAGAGTTCAGTCGCTTTTAATTCCGCTCTCGAAAAATTAACAACGAAAAATAATATCAAGTAAAAAATAACAAGTCAACATGTCCTTTTTTGTCAAAACTACCCTAGGTATCAGAGGTTCAGTTTTGAACGCGTGCGGCGGTATGCTTTGGTGTCGACAATTATCGGCTGACGGCCGATTCCAAGTGCGGCGACGCCGGAAATCGCGCAAGCAAAGTCTTTAACACCAAGGGTACTCAGAGAAGAGCACGTACTGAAACCTGCCTTGGACTAGCAAAGTTAAGTTTAAGGGGGATATCTCCCTTGGGTTGTGTAATGGGAATTGCACGAAATCCGGAACAAAAGTGGATCGATTTGCAAAAAGAAAACTGTCTTTCTTGGAAAGGAAACTCATGTTCAACAACTTGCACTGTGTAAGTTTTTTCCGTTCAGGCTGAAAGGAAGAGGATATAGAATTACTGCAGTTTTTTTCCACCCTAGACGAAGGTCTAGTGAAATGTTGTCTTTACCACTTTTGCCTATCTGTCATGTACTTTTCGGCTCAGGGTATGTGTTCCTGTTTAGTTGGTCGTTTGCCCGGGGGAAACTGACTTGCCTTAATTTAGAACCCGGGGGGTACTCGATATATCCTTGGGAGGGGAGGTGCGGTCGGGCTCCTAATACCCTGACCCTGTTTAAGACAAAAATCACTGATTTTCCTACCCTGTTTAAGACAGAATTCCGATTTTTGATACCCTGTTTAAGACATTTAACCCGAAACCATACCCTGTGTAAGACAATAATAAATATCGAAACTCTTTCTTATCAGTGAGCCATTGGCAATCACAAAACTATTTACAGCTGTTTAAGACAAAAATTGATAAAATCGATACCCTGTTTAAGACAAAAATCCCGAAAAACATACCCTGGCTGGCTGCACGTCCCCATTAGGTCCTTATAAGGGAGTACCCCCCCCCCCCCCCCCCCCCCCCCCCCCCTCCACAACCCCCCCCCCCCGCCACAAAGGGGCGATGTGATTAATAAAAATAAAAATAAATACATGTCACTCCATGCGCCACACACACTGCTTCGTGAAAGATACCTCGCGGCGGG